CGTGGTTGCACTAGAGTGTGTCAAGAAAAAAATATGATCATGGTTTCCCAATAAAAGCCGTGTGACCAAGTCGTGTGAATGGCAAAAGATGTGTAATAATGCAGTCTTGCCGACTATACCAGGTACACATCGACACTTTCGCATCTAAATTACCTTATTCTCTGTGTTTTGCCGCGCGTTTGACTCGTTTTGCTTTGTATTTGTTTACACTTTCCCTGTTTCTGCCCGCAGGGCAGGGCAGCTGAGCTTTTGTTCGTTGTTATGCGCTACGTTCTGCCAGGGGCACGCACACTCGGGGCTGAGAGAACCCACCTGCTAAATATGAAGGGCTTTCGGTCGTTCTTCCGAGGCGCCTGCTGCAATTGCCGCTCCAACAAGTCTAATTGTAGTTCGACGCCCGCCCGGCTACTCTGAAGCATCATGATACATGCGATTGAAACTAGACAGAAATCGCGTAGCCGTACAGCCTCCCGGCTGCATGAACGTGCAGCATCACACGCACTTCTACACATGGGATCAGGCAGGAACTTATATACGGAACGCTGAATGACGAAATACAAGCTCCTGGAGCCACATTAGACAGCTCACTTCAAGATAACAGATAGACAGGGGTGAATCGATGAAGCAGTCAGCAGTTGAAGGGCTGGAGCCATTGGAAAGGCACTATTGCGATGTTCTAGTAGGACGGAAAATTCACTCCTTTTATATTCAAATTCGATCTTATTTGTGGCGCTGGTACCATTCTTACATTCCAGTCATTGTGGCCACATGGCTCCGGTGAGAGGCAGGCTCCCCCGTTGGTCTCTGCAGGAAGCGTACTTGTGTCTGCTGCCTCTGCTTCTCTTGCAATCTTCAAGCTTCGCATTTAGTACAAAAGTGGCAGCAGTTCGCCTGCAGTAGGTAAAAATGTTCTATCGGGAGGAAAAACACGACAATCTGCCTTTTGACGTTGCTGCTGGTCCAGAAGTGGCGTTGTTGCTGGTCTAGAACTATCGAACGGACAGCCAAGTATCAGACTCAGATGTGCTTTTGCACCACAGAAGAATATAGCCATTAAGCCTTACTGCTAATGGCCAGAATTGTGAAGAAACAATGGAATGACTCCGGTATTGCCACTGCCTCCATTGGTCAAGTCTCAGGAATTCTTTGGCCACACCAGAAAAAGACTAAGGCCTAGCTTGGTAAAGAACGCCTCACTGGCATACATTCCCTTCCTAATGCAGTGCACTGCCAATAATACTGGAGGTTGGTGGCCCTATTGGGCCTTTCACTGCGTTCACAAAGGCATTCGGGTTGACTCTGTAGTCTACAAACCACGTGCCCAACTCCAACTGCATCGAATCCGTTCACCGGGAAAGTGCTCAGTGATTAGCAAAGCCAGTGACAACCTTCTATCCGACATTTTTGCTTGGAACCTTATCTCTTTCCGCAAATCTGGTCGGCTTTCGCCAAAAATCAACCCGCTGTAGAGGGCGTTCTGCAAGTCGAACTCCCCTTGCACTCACAACCCTAGCGTCAGCAAAATGTATACATCCCTGTGTTTACTGGAGCCAGACGCATCTCCACCTATGACAATTAGTTCCTTGGTAACTCTGCACATGCTCAACAAGAAGGTCGGCCTACAGGGCACCTAGGCAGCTTCTCAGTGTCCTTTCCGCCATCAAGATTTCTTGGCAGTGCTGACCCCGTTGATGCTGCTTCAGTCTTCTGAAAACATATCAACACGATGAACGCTGCGGCTAGAGCAGCAGCAATAATGCCACATAGGCGCAATGATGAATCCCGGTGGCTGAGAGGTCCCAGCCACCGGCTTCTGCTGCGCCTATGTAATGCCGAACCGGGCACACTCAAACTGCTGATGAGAACTGAATCAGTTCCGTTTGACTCATGATACGGCACGCGTTGGTCTACTCTCCGCGTGAGTACGACTTGCTCTCCAACACTTGCAGTCAAGGCAGGCATGACGCTCAGGAAAAGTACACAGAGCTTAAATAAAAGTACATATTTAGGTTGAAATCCCATTTTTGCCTCTACTGTTCATCTGAAGAAATTTCCAGGAGAATGCTGCGGCAAAATCACCTGTCAGGAGAAAAGAAATGGATGCCACCAAATGTTAACCTGTGCCTAAACTAAAAGAACAAGACAGCCACAGCCCGAAGCTGAGGATAAAATGCTCAGCAGGACCAAAGATTCCCCGTTGGACAGGAGTATGCTAGACTTTCTGAGTTCGTAGGGCGCGTGTAGCTTGGGCTTGACTCGTTTGCATTTCTCAGGGTCACCCAATCCTGCATATGCTAAAAGAACACATGAGCTTGGCCGCTGACTTTGCGTCAGTAAGAAACAAGGAAACTTATTTCATTGTCTTTTCATAACATTGAGCATGTTTAGTAGTGTTCGACGTCGTGCTTCTATTGGGGTGGAAGCGCACACAATGAAGTGTTGCGCATAGCATTATCTCAGTTATTTCTGTAGCTTCGGGCCTACAACGACTCTGAAAATAGTATAGGATTCCTTTTCCCGTTGAGAAACTTTTTCATTTTAGGGGTAATTCCACCAGCGCAATCCGCAAATTAGCTGATTTCAAGGCTCGGTTCTTTGGAACGTAGTGGCATGTCGTTCGCCCCGACTCATTGTGTTAGTACAGAGCTTCCTCAGGAAGCATGACGACTTGGGTTTTAGTGTCCCGCAGTAGGCAATACGGACCTTCTGTATAGATCTTTCGCTTCGTTTTGTTCGTGGTGGAGCAAAACCGTGAGCAGAAGCAATGATTTATTCATCCATGTGAGTTTCCCGAAAAGCGCTTGCTGTGCTGGAAAAAGGCAAGACTTAGGGCGATGGCAAGAATAGCACTGGCTGGGCAGAGAACGAGCGAGGTGCCAGCACGAGGCAGGTTGATGTGGCAAGCCTCGCTGGCACTTAATTTTACTGTATAAAAAGGAATTTCTCTGTTGAAGAATCTGTTGCAAATGGGCTACGCAGGAGCCAAATATGCATGATTTGGGCATGCATTGTTGTCGAAGACGAATTGCCTTGGCCATGTATGGGCTGAATGGGCGCCGTCATGTAGCTCTTTAGGGTGGCAAACTTGATCTCGCATGATCAGAGGGCGCAAAATGTGTTGGGGGCAGTTCGCTCGTAATTTAGGGGAATCCGTACGCAGATTTACCATGTGGTTGTGGACGAGCCAAACAGCGTTTCACGACTTTGCCCGTATATGCTACGCGCTAATGCAGATACACGCAAAGGCAATCACCCTGTTTCGGCTGTGCAAAGATAACAAGGATTGTCTCAGTACGCAGGAGCTGGTTCGTGGGACACAGGAACAGAAATCGACCTTTAAGCATCCAAGTTCGGGCGGCACCAACAAACATGCGTTACCACTCTTACAGGAGACGCTGCAACACGAAAGACACCAGCTTCACCATATCCACTGAGTGACAAATAGTGCAGAAGCTTTGACTCGTACAGACTAATCAGCAACCGGACTGTCCTAGAAGGGCGTCTTCCGGGTCCACAGAATTGAGCACGCAACGTACTGGCGGCAACAGCAAGGGCTTTGTCTTACCACGAACGCAGCGACAACACGCAATGCAGCAGTGCCCATTATATTAAACGAGTCCTTTTCTTCAATCCTTCCTAATTTTGCACCAGCAACCCCACTCCCCGTTTCATCAGAGCGCAATGCCTAGAAAACGCGTCAAGACTGCACAGTTGGTATCTAAGGTTGAACTTCGCAGATTATTCATGATTTTAAGCGACGAGGCATGAGACGTGCTGAAGTCGAAGAGGTAGGTCTTTTAGCTATGCTTTGAAGCTGAGGGCAGGTTGTAACATGTTGGCTTTGTCTTTGCAGGGAGAAAGCGAAAAGGCAAGGGAATAACGATTTCGTTCCATGAGCACTATCCTATTTAATCATGAACGCAGTGTGCTTACTTGTGGGTAATGCTGCACATAGATCCAATGTTGAGATATCTCAAGTGACCTCGGAGGGTTACCGCTACCTCATTAGCTTGAAGTGTTACATCGCCACAGAAGCGGCTTAATTTCGTACAGCGGGGCCTACATGGAAGGATTGCTAACACCTTGTTTTTGCAGCCCGTGCGTTTGAAGATAAAGTACCATTTTAACAACGGCCTACTATGCAACGCCTGACATAGGGAAACAAGCCGCTAGTACTCGATTCCAAAGAACCGATGACCCGCGCTGTCATAGAAGCGCAATGAAGACATTCGACCCTTCCATGCGTTGCAGAGCACGTTAGGGTTAGTAGAGCCTTTAAGGCATTGAGGAGGTTGTCTGGCTGCGCCAGTGACTGAACTTCGGTTTTGGTTCGCCTTTCGGGCTCTCCCCCGATGCAGTATCGGCGAAGCATCTAGAACAGCGAAGGGGAGGTGCTCACAGGTGCACTCTGTGGAAGGAAGCCAGCGTTGCAGTACACTGCGCTCTCTACAGCGTCTACGATGCTGCATGACCCTCAACTCTAGCGTTCAATGAAATCTTCCCAACTACCGACACATTGATTGCCTATCGTCTACCAATTTATTAAAAAGACCGTTTATCTCAAGTTCTCGAAACCGTATTTGATTAAAGTCGTTCCTTTTCGTTCTTGTTTTGCTGGTCGTGCCGTCGTTGTCGGCAGCCCCAATCTTGGAGCACTCGCACGCATTTATAGTTTGTACACGTTAATTTGTTAATAAATTGCATTTCCATTCCATTAGTAAGAGGTTACAGTGCTCAGTTCGCGTCTCAACCTGTTAACCGCCTATAGGTCATCAGTTAGCTATTCTCTATAGGTCACCAGCAAGACCCGTTGTAGTGCCTGCTCGCTACAACTTCCTCTTTTGCCGGGCTGAACCGGCCTACCCAGAACATATTATTTCTGCTTTTTTAGTGTCTGTTCCCTTCTGAAGCTAATGCCATGAGTGCATGCGATGCGCAGCATTTCCTCGCCCGTCGTCATTGAAGGCCGTCGTGTGATGGAAGCTGACGGACCCAAACCGCTACGCCTCGGAAGGAGCAAGATTGTATCGAGCTTGAAGATGTCTTCTTTGACGGCGGTGCCAAGCGCGGAACAAAGCCTGAGATCCCGTTAGGTGGTTTGCGGGCTTCCACGTGGCTTGATCTTCGCGGGTGCCGCGCGATTTGACGAGGCTCTGGGCGTCAGCGCCTGAGCCGCGTTGGTTCGTAATATAATCGACCTCATACTCCTCTGTCGGACTGCCTGCTGCATCGCGGATAGGGGGCCAGGTGGTGTCGGCTTCCTGGGGAACCAAGTCTGGAGGGCGGGGGCGGTGGGGAACTAGCTGCGAAACAGGGAAAACGTTGTGGCATTCATAGGTGGGAGGTAAAGCAAGACGGCAAGCAACGGTGCCTATTCGTCCAGTGATTTCAAAGGGTCCTCGGTAACAGGGCTTGAAGTTAGGGCAGCTAGATGAACCCGGTATATGCTTGCTGCTGAGCCAAACCTTGTCGCCGACTGCATACTCCACAGCTCGGCGCTTTTTGTCTGCGTAATATTCCTGCTGCCATTTTGCTTTCCGTATGTGGTTCTGCGCTCTGTCGCAGAGTTGCCGGAAGAGCTTAGTCATCGGAGGAATGAGCGTAGGAGCTAACGCGCCTATGATATCAAGATTTGCAGCAGTCAGCGGGTTTTCGCTGATCATGACCTCGAAGGGAGAGGGCTCGGTAGACTAGTGGATTGTCGTGTTGTAGGCAAGTTCCAGGGCCGGAAACAAACGCTCCCACTCGCGTTCCTCGCATTGGATGTAGGTACCAAGCATCTGCTCCAGTGTGCGGTTAACCCTTTCAGTTTAACCGTCGCTTTGCAGATCATGGGATGAGGACATGGCGCGTTTGATGTTTAAGCGGTGACATGGTTGCTGCTAAAGATCTGACTGGAAGCGGAAGTCCCGGTCCAACATGAGGACCTCTGGAAATCCGTGGTGGCGGATAAGACGATCTGCGAGAAGCTCCACGGTGTCTGCTGCTGTGAATGACTTCTTTGCCGGAATGAAATGAGCCGTCTTGCTGAGGGAGTCGACCATCACGAGAATCGAGTCGTGCCCTGTCGTTGTAAGGGGAAGATCTGTGATAAAGTCAAGACTCACGTGCGCCCATCGACGAGAAGGGATGAGCAACTGTTGAAGAAGGCCGGCAGGCTTCTGGTTAAGGGACTTTGACGCTCGACAGTGAGTGCATGACTCAACGTAAGCAGTAGCGTAGGCGCGCATTCTTGGCCAGTAGTAGTGCTTGCTCAGAGCCGTAAATCTCTTTTTCTGTCCCCGATGGCCGGCTGTCACATGATCATGATGTGAATACAGAACGTTAGGAAGGAACTCATGGAATTGTGGGACACAGATTCTCCATAGTCCATGAATACAAATGTGCAAGTAAGGCGGCACATAGCGAAAGGGGCGATTACGAAATTCTATCGGTATAGCGTCTCCTGGTTGTTTTGCAGCGACTTCGTAGGGAGCGCGGAAAACGGGACACTTCGAGTAAGCTTGCGGCCATGCGTGCACATCAGCAGGGTCAGCTCTTGTCTTCGTTGCAGGTGTAGGGTGTTCCGCCTCTGTATTGGGCTCAGGAGGCAGAGCTGAAGGTGGCGATGGCAGGGTGCGTTGTCTGGATCGTCGCAAACGAATGCCGGCGAGCCCCCTGTATTTGGCAGGCCGATCACGAGAGCGAGAAGCAGCGCGTGCTTGTTCTACTGCGAGCATCAGCGGTGTCGGTGGTGTGTCGTGCAAGCAGGTGTTAAAGAGACCGGGACGGCAAGACAAGGCATCAGCCACCTGATTGCGCGCTTCTTGAACATAAGTGATGTCCAAATCCGGGGACTCGGCCAGGAAATCTGACCACCGAGCAGTGTTTCCACGCAGAAGTTTCGATGCTTGGAGTCGTTGGAGGTGCGTAAGAGCTTGCTGATCTGTATGAGCTATGAGTTTGGTAGCACGGAGCAGATGAGACCGCTTGTCTAGGGCCTTCACCAACGCTAAGAGTTCTTGGTCGTAGATCGAGTATTTCTGTTGTGTGGGTTCATAACTTGGCTGAGAAAGCCGATGGGCTTCTCTTCTTGTTCTAGAACCGCTCCGATCGCGTAATCAGAGGCGTCCGTGCATAAGTCGAAGGGCTTCGTAGTATCAGGAACTTGTAGTGAAATCGATTAAGCGTGAGCTGCTGCACCGTCTTTGTGTGAAGTTCTCTCCATTTGAAACTAACGTCTTTACGTGTAAGATCAACCAGCGGCCACGCGACGTCCGCGTAGTCAGGTCCCATGAACATGCAGCAGTAATTTATGACGCCGAAAAACTGCCGCACCTGCGTTTCATTTTTCAGCACCTCTGGCCAGTGCCGGATAGCTTCGATTTTGTCTTCTGCAGATTTGATGCCTTCGGCAGTGATGGTATAATATGAATATGTGAGTGCTTGCCTAGCGAACTTGCATTTGCGGAATTTTTGGTAGAATTGGTTTTGCAGAAAAGTGCTGAGAACTTGTCGCAGGAGGGAGACGTGTCCAGAGAGGTCGGAACTATAAATAAGTACATCATCTAGGTACGCAATAACGCCCTGT